CATTAATCACTGCAACAAGCACGTAAATACCACCACGTGTGGCACCGGTACCTGTACTAAGAACACTCTTAAGAAGTTGCTACGAAAGAAGCGGAACGTCACTATTCGGGGCAACATTCGCTGTGGCTGTTTTATTCGCTTTTGAGGCACCAATCATCAGCAGCAAGAAAATCCCACTCCAGCACAGCCCAGTCCAGCCCACCATACATACACTGATCCTGAAACCACAAGGAACCACCTTTTGTGTCGTCATCGGAACTTGCTTGCCCCGGCAGCAACATGATGGACGGTAAGTTTGCCACATTTACTAAACCCACAACATTCTCTAGACACATTGTTGCCGGCAAATGTCAATGACATCGGCCCTAAAAACTACACTGACGAGCCCTCCCACTTAGGCCTATTGTAAACTTACATGAGATACGGGAAACACACACAACAACGGACAAATGTACTCGATAGTGGGAGGTACATACGTTTTATAGCTCATGTAGGGCTATTATAATATAACAGTAGTAGGGCAAAGGTGTATCTCCACGGTAGCTAGACTATACAAATAGTGTTACTTTTTTTGATCATGCTCAATCCCAACGAGCTTTGTAAGGGTATTCACGAGATTTATTTATCACTCAATTTGAGCCCTTCACCTCAAATGGTGATTCTACCCTACAATCGGGGCATATTGTATGTAGACTCCGCCCATAATTTGTGGAAATATGAACATTTAACCAATTTAGATCCCGTTCAACAGCAAGACAATTTAGGAGATACCTCAGATTTGATCATTTCAAATACATTCAGTATTAGTCATAGGTACACATACATATACATATGTATGTATACTCGAACCACGCTTCTACAGTTTAAGTTCATGTATCAGATAAACAGAATTGATTAGAAATACATGATAGATAAGATATGGAAATCGAACAGGGAAGCAATCGTCTTCGTACTCTACAATCTAGCAAGCCACAAAAAACCCTTGTGCTAGAAATTAGCCAAATCATCGTGAGACGGCCTAAGGGGTCTCTTCTTTTGGCAGTTCGCCAACAATGTGTGGCCATTGTTGTTGCTTGTTTTCGATTCCAAGAGAGATCTCGTGCCAGTCGGTGCCAGTGCCAGATTAGCATTCGAAATTCACCTTGTCTGTGTTGTTGGAGGAGACTTTTTAGGTAAAAATTTCCACGAATTCTGCACACTTATTCGGGCAGACCTATAATTAAGCTGTCCGTACATGTGTATTGTAAATACGTGGCCCAAACCTAAACCCCACGCGATTAGTGCTCGCAGTCGCATTACAAATATCACATGATGACACTCTTTTTGCCAACGAACGGCTGGGAGCTTCATCGCTTTGGTGTTTTCTGTTTTTCAGCGTGACTCATGAATTTCTTTAATTATCGGCGAAAGCTCTGTACGTACATATGTACATATGTATGTATGATTGTTGTCGAAAGATGAAAGCTGCTCAATTCTGAGAATTCAGCCAGCTTTTATCTGCGCACACAATCAACCGACTGCCTACAAACACTATTGCATGAAAGCTTTTTGTTTGACTGTATGGGAATGTAGCTTTATAAAAGCGAGACGGACTATATACAAAAATTTCCCATATTTGAATCGCAACGTTTTTTGCATTGTCAGTGACCTCAAAGATCGAAACCTTGCAAGGTGTTTTAACATGGAAATTGGTACAAAAATGGGAGATACGTGGAATATGCATGTGTAGATTTTATATACATACTCTACATCGGGATACCTGCTATTCATAGAAATATTATTGCTTATTCTTCTTATCCAAATAAATTGAGGGGTATAATAGTAGATACTTCTATCAAATAGAATGCACAATGGAATGAATTTTCTTTGTTCCATTCCGATGCTCAAGTTTAGAAAATATAGCAATCTTTTCTATCTATTCAATGCATTCATTATACCATTATGTATGTACATACCTTTGCGCTAGGTCAGTTGACCGGCATTTCAGATTCATGCATATATAGAAATCGAATTGACTAATGAATCATACATATGTATGTATGTATACTATGTACAGCTTCGTCTCGTTAGTAAAAAAAGTACATTTAAATGAATTATTTACAAAAACATTTATACACACATCCTTATGGATAGTATACATATGAATGTACTCTTAGTTATTGTATTGTTGTCTTGCCGGCCGGCCTGAGATTCTATTGTATCTGTAGGACCACAAGCAAAGGGGACGAAGGGAAATTCATTCGACAGCTGGCACTTGGGGAAATTTTAGCGTTCTCTCGCTCGCACACTTGGATCTTTTGTGTGCGCCTGTTCGTGTGCGTTCGTGTGAAAGCTGGCGCACGCACACATGCACACTTAAAGTATCTGTGCATGGCAAACTGGTTTGCGCTGAGCTTTTTGAATTTCACAACAAATCTAAATTCAGACAACTGGTGGAGGCCCAACAGAGTCTCCGTTTTCTCCGACTTGTACCGAACGAGCAACGTACGGTCGATTCAATCCGCAGTGAATTGCTCAAGCAGTCAGTTGACTCACACATTACCAGTCCCGTCGTTCAACTCAAATAAAGTGAATAGAAAAGTTCTTCTACAAGTTCAGTGGAATTCATACAAGTCAAACAGACAGTTCAGTTCCTGCAGAAAGGAACCACAGTGTGAACAAATATCATTCGTTGTTGTTCTACGTGGAGCAACAACCAGACAATCGTCGGAACAGAGTAGTTTCATAAAATCGTAGAAGAAACGGCCACAGGCGACCAAATATCCAAGTGGTGGTGCCAGGAACCACCCAATAAATAATTGCGCAGCAAAAATCCCAAGTGAATTTTTCGGTCGGGTTTTCGACAACCGGACAACCGCGCTTGAAGACACAGTTTTACTAAGTAAATGTAAGTAATCCAGATGACAATATGCATATATGTATGTATATTTATTATATATATAGTGTGTATAAGTGTGTGTAAGATCTATAGTATATATTGAGTGAAAAGACCACCATATTGAATTGCTTAAGTGAGCGAGTGACGTCAGAGCGAATTAGACATGCAAGCAAGCAACAATTTTGATCAAATTTACACGGGGGCTTGGGGGATTTTTCTTTTGATATGCGAGACAATAGTAATTATAAAGCAATACGTGTGCCGTGCCGAGCCGTGCCGGTATTAGTGTGCCATTAGACAAAGCTCGCGTGTGCTTTTGGGGGGAAATTTTCCATCGCTTGATAATTGCTTTTTGGTGTTGTTTTATGCACCGGCCAGCACACGACAATTTCTGATATTCGAGTGAGATAATGTGTTCTGTATTCTGTAGCACAATTATCTAAGTGACAATTGTGGAAGGGAGGGAAGGGTGCCCGAATTGAGGGACGTTGCCAACTGCTGATTAGCTTAGCCCACGCCCCCTCTGGCTGTAGATACCTGTTGACCATGCCCATGGTCGGCCATGCCCATGCCCATGCCCATGCCTCTGGTGAAATTCATTTTGCGTTTTGCGTGGCAAAAGCTTTTAGGGGGGCGCCGTGGGCTTATCAGACGTTTGAAAGGCGCCCAGCCCAGCCCTATCGAACAAGGAACTATAATTTTTGGCGAAAACAACTCTACTATTATCTGTAATTACAATTGAAGAGGACTAAAAATCAAATCTAGAGCTATTATCGAATCTTATCACTGCGATCTCCATGTTGTGGGCCCTATAAGTAATGCGCCTTCTCTTCTTTATTCTTTAATTTACAGCCTAAGGGGAACTTGTGTCGACGACTCTTTTTAGAGCTTGTTTAGAGGGATCCTAACAATTTCATTGTTTCTTTCTAACGGTCAATTAAAAGTGAGTATTCAAAGTCCTGATCATATCATAAACATACGACTCTGTCTCTCATGATTGCGCTTGGTTGAGATCGTCCTTGCACCTTTAGTTTGTAAGAATGTTTTATGAAAAAAGAAAAAAGACAAAAAGAAAAGAAAAGAAAAGAAAAAAGGATTCAATCCATTGAAAAAAGGAGTAATTCCATTGAAAAAAGGAGTAATTCCATTGAAAAAAGGAGCAATTCCATTGAAAAAAGGAGTAATTCCATTTTAAAAAAGGAGCACTTCCATTCAAAAAAAAAAGGAGCAATTCCATACAAAAAAGGATACAATCCAAAACAAAAAATAAATAAATAAAGGAAAAAAGGAATTAACTCTAACAAACATACAGAAAAAATATGGGAATAGTATGGAAAAGAAAAAAACACGCCAAAAGAGAAAAAAGGAAATGCAACTAACAAAACAAGGCCTGCAAAAGAACACCAAGCACACACCCAACCAAGCAGACATCCCACCACCCACCATCTAAAACAAACGCATCACACATACAAGCTCTTCGAGATCGCCAAAAAAGAAAAGACCCAACGCCTGACAAATCAATGATCAGGGATATCCCGCATCCGATATCTCTGAGACATTGACCGACCGTGAGTGCCCATGGTCCCCACAGGATCCATGGGCGGAAGGCGGCAGGCGGCCGGCGGCCGGCGGCAGGCATTGTACATTGCTAACCCACCCACCCAAAACCACAAGATTTTGAGGCGCGAGCCCTACAAAGGATCGTGCTTCCCCAACGTCGTCGATCTGTGTAATAACAAAATCTTTTTCTTTTGTCTATTTTCTTTCACATAAAAACAAAAACAAAAATACCGAAAACTCTTAACTGCGCTTGCTCCACTCATCAACAAATCCTGTCTGAATCGATCAAAAACAAATTGTATAAATTGTGCAAATTTATATATATTTTTGAAATCCTGCCGAACCGAAACGAACCGTGCACCAAAAACCATATGAAATGAAACGAAATATGCTGAAATTTTATACAAAAACAGCCCCGTTCAAAATGGCATTCTCTGTCGAATCCCAAACCAGCCAAGCCAGGCCCAAGAGCGAAACCAACAACACAACCATCCACGAGCAGACCAAGACCTTCTTCAACAGCAGCACCAGCAGCCAAAGCTCCCAGAACCACCAGTCCGATTGTATTGTCACCGAGACCAACTCTAACAGCAACGAGAGAGAAACCCGAAAATCTCAGAGATATAATATTGATGATCCAGGAGCCAGCACGAGTACAGGCAACAACATACGAGGCGAGGGCACCACCCAGCAACAACCAGGCACCGGAACAGGCAAGCGAGCACGCCCACGCACGGTCCCAGGATCCGCAGATCGTAACAGTAACGATACCCTCTGGCGAGAGAAACTCATCGCCCAACTGCTGCTGCTCTCACAGGAGAACAACGCAAACAGTGCCTACGAAGGCTTCGGTTACGTGCACGTCGATGAGCAGCACAACCATACCGATCGTGATAAATACGAAACCAAACCCAAGAATCATACTGATCAGGGTGCCAACGCAGGCGCAGACGCACGAGACAAGCAACAGCAACAGCAGCAAGAACAGCTGCAACAACAGCAGGAGCAGCGGGACAGAGTGCAGCGCGCCTCGAACTCGCATTATCAGAATACCCTTTTTACCAGGGTCGGTACCAACGCGTCCGCCAGTGAAACGGGCTTTGCCTACGGTGCTCCCTCTAGTAAACTTGAAGAATTCGGCGACGGAAGCCCCTATCGCAACGTATCCAGCGACTGGGACTGCAACATACCAACTAGAACACAGCTCGGCACAGGCGCCAAGAACGCTGCACCACGAGCAGGCGACAGTAGTCGGTACACGGACTATGGAGATGGTGACGCAAACGGTCCCGGTTTCGAGCACGCCCCAGTCACAGACCCTGGCGTCAATGGCTGGTATCCAGCTGACAGGTGCAGACTTGCAGCCGTCCCGCCAGGATATGAGTGGAGCAATGCCTACTGCTACAGTTGAAGAGATAGATGTTCCGGTGTTCATTGATGGTGAGTACTGTGTTTTGTGTGTGTTAAATATGTACCAAGAACTCTCTCATTACTGTTGCGATACGTTGCCAAAAAATCGAAATCGAAAAACTTAACAACAATCAGTTAGAGAAAGAGTCAGATAGCAGGCACGAGCTTTGCCCAGCTCCCCCGCCCAGCCGGGTGGGGGGACAGGTGCTTCTCTGCCAAGGACATCGAGGTACTTTCACCACTTAGATGGCGATGAAGAAGATCACAGTGCAATGACCCATTGAAGAAACGAGCTGATGGCCATGGCCTAGCTCCAGATGGAATACGGCAACGGAGACAGGGCGGGCCAGGTCCCGGCTCGCCTAGTCCGAAGCCTGATCTGTCGGTAAATGGAATTCAATATTCCATATTTTGTATATATCCTATAGATATTCAACCCCCCCCATTTATCGAAGTTTTACAGCATGTCTTTTGTTCGACCTATTTTATCTTTCTGCCAGAAAACTACAGAAAAAAACAGAAAACACCCAAAAGATTTATTTCTTTTTATCCAACTAAAGTGCCATACTTTTTTATATATTTCCTTTACATACTCACAAACTATAAGTCACACTCAAAAACAAAAATTCTTCTCTAGATTTTTAAGGAAAGCATGAAAGATTTTCGAACATACATATTGCCATGTCCGTCTCTGACTTTTAAAGTTTACAGAGATCTGTCTGTCCGTTTTTTTGGCAAACCTTTCAATGAGTTTTGTGGTTATCCTAGTAAAACACTGTATTGGCGATCATTTTTGCTGGCAGAATCGCATCACTTTTTCATATAACAATAATACGAAACCTTCTGGAGAAAAACCTGCCATATTCCATATAATGTCTGTCCTGATATACATACATATGTATATTTTCGATAATATAGTGTAGAAAATTGTCCTACTTTTTCTTACATTTTTAAAAGTATTGTTCGATATAGCATAGCAAAGAATGATTCGATTCCCAAAGATTATGTTTACTAAACGGAAATGTTGTCCCCTTTTTTCTCTTCATTTTTCTTACACGTTACTCTTATCTGCTATTTGACGACACGGGTTGTCTGGGGTGAATCATTTGATTGTTCCATCTATCGAAACGACGCAGTTTTAAATGACTACATTATATATGTATGTACGCAAAATCTATCCATATGTTTATGTACTAGTAATTTTGCTTATTCTAATGAAGAACAAGGGGGGGGAAAAATGCAAAAATATCTTTCCAAATTAATCTGTATGTAAATCTAAATACATAGTTTATTATATTTGGAAGTGATAATTAGGTTTCAGAATAGCGATGTAATTCAATTTAGTAATATTTCGTATTTATTGTACATATGTATATATATATGTAAAAAGCAATGCAGGCGTTACATTACGTAGCACACGTAGCCTATTGAATCATATAGTACAGCTTGTTGTCCGGTATATGTGTCCGAAGTCACCACCTCGATGAGCTGTTTTATTTCCATTGGGTGTCCCCCGGTCTTTTACATATGTATGCATATATTGCAATCGACATTTTTATTGATGTCGGTAACACCTTTTCACTCTTTCCTTGTTCCGGTGATAGCTTCCTTATATAAGAGATACGTAAGTTTGACCATACATGGTCTTGCTCCGCTCTTCTATCTTATCGGGCGGTTTTATAGATTAGAGGTTAAGGTATTTTCGGCAGATTATCTATTTTTGCCACCGACTTTTGTGATGTCACAAGCGATGAAAATCAAGTGCATTGTAGACAGCCAAATGTCCAAATGACCCAAATTTTTGCGAGCACGTTTTTCTAGCCGGCAAATGCCAATATATAGTATAAATACTTATCAGGTTAGTACTCATGCAAGTACATAAACATTTGAGTTCCTTATATGAATGTTAAGCATACAAATTAAACAACTGCGGTAGCGGATTGTGTTTTTAAAAAGTTTTTATTTTACTTCGAACTTCACTGATATAGATTTAAGTAGAGGGTCACAAAGGAATTCCGGGCCAAGGGATTGCGCGATCTTAATATTTAGCTAGACTTTGCGGTGTCGCTGCTGGATCAAGACTGATTTGAACTTTCTGATCTTTGCATCGTTGATCCCTTTCGGGAATCGTTTTTCTATAAACATTTCAATTGATTTCGCCATCCCGAGTATTAGATTTCGTCATCCAAAGAGAGAACTGTAAAAGGCCTAAAGTGCAGGATCTGCAGAAAGCCGGGAGTGAGATTGTTTATGAGAAGCCGGGTGTGGGCAAACATTGGTTTTCCATTTAGGCGAGTGTCAAAGAATGGGATTGCGGCGGGGGCGCTTGAGATTGTACATCTTAGAAATCAATTAGGCGGAGGCCCAAGATTGAAATTGTTTTCGTTTTGGAAAACCAAAGATTGTTTACAACTCGTATAAGAGCTCAATGGAATTGGGTACGTTAACTCCCCCCATTCTTAAATGTTTCGTCCCGATACATTTTGAAGTTCTGATAGAGCTCTAATTTCTTCTGACAGTATTTGAATGTTGCTTTCCACTATTTCTTCTGACGGTATTCTTATTGATTTAATAAGTACAAATTTGGTTAATTTATAGCAGAAGTAAAATAACATTAACAATATCAAAATGATTAAAAATAATGTTGTTAATGGTAAGGCCGTATTACCTAATGTTATAAGGGGATTTAAAATATTAACATTATCAAAAGAAAATTGCTTATCATTTGATTGTATATAATCAACTAATTCAAAATCGCTATATCTATGATGCGATATATATTTTAGAATTTTACCCTTATCATTTATGTGGCTTATATTATTTATTACAATTGTGTTGTTGAATATAAGGAGATACGATCCTAACAAAGTAGTATTGTCTACGATATTTTTGCCTGAAACTAATATGGCACCATCCTGAATGATGTCTATTTCTTTGTTTTTTTTCCCTTTTTTTAGTGCAGTTGGCTTTAAAGCCATTAAGTAAATTGGTGAAACAGGTACTCTTTAAATTTATTTGTGCGTAATTGTTAAAAGTTTCACTTTTAAAATTATTCATTAAATAGTATTTCTCCTTACATTCACAAACTTTTTCACTTATAACTAACATTCCATCATTTTGTGAGATGGCTCTTGCATGGTAAAACTTGCAAATATCTTTAATTTGAGGATATTTTATGTAAATGATTATTAAATCTGCATTTCGAATTATTTTAACCGTTGCAATGTCCAACAGATCAGACAGTTCAACATTATGTTTTTCATGCTTATAAATGTCCTCTATTTCGTTTTTATTTAAAATTTTTGTATTGAAAATGTTTACTTTTAAGAGGGTTATGGTATCAACTAAATTTAGTAGGTCAAAAGTTATTAATTTTAAACGATGCTTTCTCAGTATCGTTTCTTCATTGAAGATGACATTCTTTAATGAATTTGATAGCAATTCAATTTCTTTGAAAAATTTGGAATTTATTACAAATTGTTTATTATTATTTTCAGTTAATTCATTTACTTTATTTTGTATTTTCAAAAAGTCGTCATGATCAGGGCTGCCTGCTATCCATTTCCAAATGGTACCTAATTCATTTATTCCCCTTTCTTTCCGTTTTGGAACTAATTCTGAAATCATTAATTTTAATAGACTTAAGTCCATTGATATTTCCCACTCATCGTCTGAATTAATTGATTTGTTGACATATTTGGATTCTTTATCAATTATCTCTCTATAAAAACTCAAATTAGTAATATGGAAAAGTTCAGCGTATGTTTCATAAGTGTAAACGTCTCTGTCGTCTTTGAGCAATAGATAGTCACTATGCGTATAGTCAATTACTTCCGCAGTCGTCAATATAACAAAAGTCAGTATTAGTATATTCGCATACATTTTCTGGAAAAAATATTTAATATTTGATGTTATCTTTATGTATAATTCTGTTTCTATTGTTGATTATAATTTTATTCGGTCGATTTTCCTTAACTACCTGCTTTTTGTATCGGGATTGAAGTTTATTTCTTTCCCCGAATTTCTTTTCATAGACTACTTCTCCTATTTTATAATCTTTTTCTCTTCTATCTTTGTTATGTATCTTAAGCATTTTGGTCTGAGCTTCCTTAAGTAATATTGGATTATGTTTGTGTTCTATTTTGTTATACAATATGTCATATGGCATTTGATTGGTCGTTGAATGTATCGTCAGGTTATATTTCAGTGCCGCCCTTATTATTATTTCTGAATAATCTGTTAGATTTAGTTCATCCTTGATGCACCGCGCTATTTCTGTTAGTGTGGAATGTACCCTTTCTACCTGACCATTTGAGGTGCTGTGTCTGGGATCAGCATAATAAATAGTTAAGTTACTTCTTTGTATGAATGATCTAAATTGTGCTGAAGTAAAGCTTGGTTCGTTGTCAGTCATTAATGATGTTGCTAACGGAAAGTGTTGTAAAATTTCCATTACCTTATTTTCAATGTTTAATTTACTTTGAATTTCCTTGACCACCAAGTATTTGGAATAAGAATCTATACAAGTTATGAATGTTAGGTTTTGGGCATAGTATATGTCTAAGTGTAATTGATCTCCTTCTTTTGCTGGAATGGGAGCTTCCCCAATTGGAATTTTTACAGGGTGTCTCCGATATTTGTTTTTGTTACAGATCTCACAATTTTTTATATATTCTTTTAATTTTTTGTGCAGGTTTGGCCAATAATACAGCTTAGTTATTTGTTTGTAATTTTCGTCTAGTCCTCTATGGGCTCTGCAATGTGTTTCTTCTATAATTATAGCTTTATCTTCTGAATTTACTACATCTTGGAGGAACTTTCTTGTGAAGAGAAATTTATTTATGAAGTTTTCCTTTAGCTTATTTTGGATAAGGTATAAATCTTCTAAAGTGCAGTGTATTCCTGTGGTTAAGTGAGGCTGAATAAATTCTTTTAAAATGATTAGCAGATTGTCAACCGTATCAAATTCAATAATATGTCGGGTATTTTCATAAACTCTTACTAACTCATGAACTGTGAATCTCCCTTGC